AGCGCTCAGCAAGCGTCGGGGCCGTGAAATCGGATTTGCGCCCCTGCGCTGGGGCAGGGAGCCTGGGGGCAGCACTCAGTGGTGGAGGGCAGGACAGGTGGCCACAGGCTGGGAGAACCATAACAGGGCATCACGGACACAAGATCCTCTTTGTTAAGATGATACCGGAGCAGGAGGGCGGCTGCGGGAGAGGCTTTGGCACAGCTGCCTGAGCTCCTTTACCTCCCGACATCAAAGCCCGCCTCTAATTGTGTCTTTATTACTTTCACCCAAGCCCTGGCCCAGTGTCCCTGTGGCTTTGCAGTCAAACAGGTGCCTTTCTAACGTGTGAGATTAAAGGACCTTAGTGGATTTCAAAGCGTGCCTCAAGGGACATGGCAATGCATCTGATCCTGTTAGGATGGGGATGCAGGAGCATCTCCTTCCCTGGCATGGGAGGCACATCCCATCTCACAGGCAGAGCTATGCCCCCAGCCAGCCCCAGTATAAGGTGGGAGGCCAAAGGAGGCCATGGGGCCCCAAGGAAGCCCCCAGGCTCACAGTGTGAGCAGCACCCCGAGGATGCCCTGTGCATCCCATCCTGCTGAGAAGGGCATCGGTTGGAGAGGGGCTGAAGCCTGCAGGGATGCCCCATCCCTCAAGTGCCCCAGCTAGAACAGGGACTCCCCACTTCATCCCCTAAATGCTCCCTACTTCACCAGGGACATCCTCTCCCCACCAACTCATAGCTTGAACCAGGGACCCCCCGATCCATCTCCCAAACCCCCTTTATTAGACCAAGGTCCCTCCACTCCATCCCCCAAACACCCCGTGTTTGGCCTGGGATCCTCCCACTCGATCCCCCTCAAATGTCCCATGCTGAATGCTTGATACTAGAAAACACCCCACACTGGACTGGGACCCTCTCTCATTACCCTCTCCCCGATCTGGACCATTTTAGGGATTTCCATGAGGGAGCACCTTGGTGGGAGAACAGCAAGGGGAAGCAGCATTGCGTTGCATTGCTAAAAGGTACCCAAGGTCTCTGCCGTAGAGGATTAAACTATGCAGAGACCAAGAACTGCTGGCTCAGGAGCCAGGGAGGGGACCGAAACTTGGCTGAGGATCCTATAGAACAAAGCAAAAACAGGAAAATGCAGAGACATGCCTCAAAAGTCATAAAAACAATGTGGTTAAACACACACGGAGTCTCTTTCCCCCTTGGCAGATTACAGGAGGGCAATCTTTGCCTCCAGACGTGCGGGCAGAAGCCATTGCTCACGTTAATTCCTAGGGAAAGCAAGAGGAGGTGGATGGAGGTGTTCAGGGTGCAGAGAAAGGGGCTCAGCTGATCCCAAATCCATCTCAGGGATGGATTTGATCCAGAGCGGTAGAAGAAGGACATAGAGCCCATAGGCAAGGACCAGTGGGTGAATACCTCTCAGCACCTCACACCACAGCAGTCACTTTGCCACAGCTTCTGTGGTCTCCTGCACACCCCACAAGCTCCCCAGGCTCCCTGTTTAAGGGTTTTCCCTTTGATTATAGCACCATGCCGCAGTAAAAGCCGTATAACTGAGGCCTTGGGTTTAAGTGATGAAATAAGGATGAGGAAGGCAAAAAAAAAGAAGTTCTATCCCAGTGATCTTGTTTATGGGAGTTGAAACCAATGCCCCCATCAAAATGGAACAATAAAAACTAATTGTTTGGGGGAAAGAAATGTTAATTTCCCATCAGCCGTTCCCCATTTCCTTTCTGCTGAGCGCAGCTCCTATAATCGAGGCATTTGTCCCCTTTGATGGCTGGTGTCAAATGAGCTTTGATGTCATGGAAGGAAATCATGTATTTAGATACAGCCTTTGCTCAGGTCAGGCACAGTCACTATAAATCAGGGGGCTGAGGGGATGGGGAAGGGTGTGGAGAGTTTCAACTTGACCCTTTAGCACCGTTTTCTTTACCTTTCACATTAAATTAACTCTCCTATTGTTCCATATCACCACATTACATCTTATTTTCCCCATCACGATTCTTTTGTTCCCCTGCAAAGCTTTTGAAGCAGATGAGAAAGGGAAACCTTCTTGCAATCATCTTTCCAGAGGGTACCTCCACATCAGAGGCAGCACATGGAAAGAAATGGGAAAATAAAGCCCTGCCACAACATCTCTGCTAATCTTTCTTGGAAATGCCTCTGGAAACAACCGAAGCTCATCGGGACTGGCGAGGAGAGCAGAACTGGAATCCATTTCATCGCTCTATTAAAGCCCATGCAAGGAACAAATGAGTTGCTGAGATTTTCATGCCATCCTCACCAGGAGCTGAATAAAGATCACATTAAGTTTACACATCTGCAACAGCTGGCAGCCATGTCCTAAAGTGCCTTTCAAGCCTGTGAGCTGAAGGGAAATCAGGATCCTTTCAAGTCAAGGAGCTTTCCCATTAATTTAATGTGGTTGGCTTTGCCAGGGGGACAGATTTCCCAACGTGCTCAGCTGTTTTCCAAGTCTGGCCTCTTCTTTTGGTGCCTTAATGGAAGAGAAGCTCCCAACTAACATAAATGGTCCCATGATTCCCCAGGGTGATAGCTCAGTGGTCTCAGTCACTGTAAAAGGCAGGTTTGGGCTGAATCCATCACTGTTTTGAAGGAACTTTTCACTTCATCAGAAGCTGTTCTTCATGGGATAAAGATGGTGCTGACAGGGCAATGGGACATCAGCCTCAGCCACGCAGCTTGATGGCTTCTGCTTGTGACAGGCTGTACTCTTATCTGCATGTAGTGGGGGATGTGATGGTGTTGGGGTGCAGGCACTCCTGAAGCAAGTACTTGGGCTCTTTGTCCATCCCTGGCAGACGGCATCTCCTGGCTCACTGCAGAGGCACTTGTTAAAGCCCTCTGCAACCACCCTCTGCCCCAGGGCCGAGCAAAACTGTGTGGTGATGGTGTGGAAATCATTCTTGTTCAAGCCAGAGAAGCAGGAGAGGCCAAAGGGTTGAGCTCCCGGCCGTGATGCTTGGTTTCCTCTGTGCTTACGGGGCAAGGAAGGGGTCTGAAGACCCTGCTGAGCCACTCTGGCAGCATCCCCAGCTCCTGCAATCACAGGGTTTGCAACTCATGCGCAGGGAGGAGACAAAGTTGGACTTTATACAAGGGCCTGTAGGGACAGGACACGGGGGAATGGCTTTAAAGTGAAAGAGGGGAGATTTGGATTTGATTGTTGTCCCAACAGCTTAATGAAATCCTGCAAAAGAAATATAATTATATATATATGTTATATCAAATTATATATAATATATATTATTATACTATAATAATATATATAAAACATATATATCTATATAAAAACCTAACTGGGCTCAAATGGGAGTTTCTCCCCTGGAAGGGACAGTGGGATGTTTGGCGGTGGCCACGTCCCCGCTCCCGTTTGTTTCTCTTGCAGACAGTGCCCTCTTGTGGAACCCTCTTGTCTGCTCCATTTCACTGCTGATTCCCCAACTGAAACGATCACTCGCAGAGAGCGCGAGCATTCACAGGGGACCAGCACAGCCTGCGGTGCCAGGGCTCGTACTTTCCCTCCTGGCACCAGGGAGAAGGATAGCAGCGGGATGAAGGAGTGCAGCCCCATGACATCCCACCATAAGATGAAGCCTTCCCAAATCGACATGCTCTGTGATGGGCATCAGGATGCTCTGACCCCAACCCCACAGTGCTAAGGAAAGGTCTCCCACTGGCACCATCATAAGCTGCCACCCGCTTTGTTCTCCCTATTGCCTTCCAAAAAGGCGTGAGATAATTGGAAAGCAGAACAAAAGGTGAGGACAATGCTCTCCTCTGGGCAAATCCCAAAGAGAACACAGGTCATTTTAATTTTTCCATAGCCATGACCTCTCCTGGAGCACGGAGACTCCCTGGCAACAGGGTCAGGCTTTATGCCAACCTTTCTTTATGCAGCATCATCGAGGGGCTGAGCATCTCTGTGCTTTCCTGTTTCCAGCCCAAAAGCATGGGCTTCACCTCCAGAGCACCTTGCTGGAGCCAGGTCAGGCTTATACAGGGCAACCCTAATTTAGCAGCAAGATCATGCAGCTCTTGAGCACAGCTTGAGGGAACTCTTGTAAAGGGCTGTAGGGGTCTCTGGTTGAATATGAAGAATAACTGATTTGGGGGATGGTGTCTGGGGTGACCCTGGGGGTGAAAGATTGTGGGGGAGCACTGGGGTCAGGCTCTGTTCAAGAGATGTGGGGCTGCGGTGGAGAGCACATTGGTTGTATTGGAAAGCAAGGATTTGCAGGAAACAAAGCCCCAGGTAGGTTTGCTCTAAGAAAAGGAAAGTTTCCTTCTGTGTCTCTGATTGCAAAGATCTGGTGACAATCCTCCTGCTTTCCAAGGATGCACTCCATGCTGTAAGCATGTTCAAACCCCTCCAAGTCATAAATACATCACCTGATGGGAGGTGGGACTGGGGGGTCCTGGTACAGCCCTGTGAGGATGGGAAATGGAGTCACAGGAGGGTGCAGAAGAAGAGTGGCCCCACCTGTAAAATAGAGTTATACCCCATGTTGGCGTACTATGTGCTGTTTTGGTGGGTGCATGTACTCATAGAGATGGTATGTTATATTGCACATGTAATGTGCAATAAAGGGTGTATGTCACACATCATGTGATATGTGATATGTATGTATGTCATGCATCACGTGGTATGTGATACATACATACAGACACCTTAACGTGATGCGTTTATCGCACAGGAACAGAGAGAGATAACGCGGGGTGAACACGGTACAACCGACCCGCTCGTTATCACACACGTGCTAACCACAGCCCACCCCCGCCCGGCGCGCCAAAACAGTGACCACGCCCTTTGACCACGCCCCCGACGTAAGCCACGCCCCTGCCCCCCCCCCCCCCCCCCGCGGTCCTCCAGGGTCACGGAACAGGGGCTAGAGCGGCTGGCGCGCGGAAGTACGTGCTTGGTGGCGTCGGAAGTGACGTAGCCGCGCGGGCGCCTCTTGAGGTGCGGCGGTGCTGGCGGGCGGGAAGATGCCGGTGGCGGTGATGGCGGAGAGCGCTGGCGGCTTCCGGCGGCTGCTGGAGCAGTGCGAGACGCAGGAGCTCGAGGTGCGAGGGGTTCCTGAGGCCATGGGAAGGCCTCGGGGCTCGGTGTCGCGCCAGAGTGGTGGCGGTGGGGTCAGGGGCGACGGTAGCGGCGGCCTCCGTGACTGGGGAGTTCTGGCTGGAAAACCCGCACTGTGAGAGACATTGAGGTGCTGGAGCGGGGCCGGAGAGGGGCAGTGGAGCTGGTGCAGGGCCTGGAGCACAAGTGTGATGGGGAACGGCTGAGGGACCTGGGGGGTTCAGTCTGGAGAAGAGAAGGCGCAGGGGGGACCTTATCGCTCCCTACAACTGCCTGACAGGAGGTTGGAGCCAGGAGGGGCTGGGCTCTGCTCCCAAGGAACAAGGGATGGGACAAGAGAAAACGGCCTCAAGCTGCACCAGGGCAGGTTTAGATGGAGCTGAGGAACAATGCCTTCCCCACAGGGTGCTCAGGCATTGGAACAGGCTGCCCAGGGCAGGGCTGGAGTCACCGTCCCTGCAAGTGCTCACACACCGTGGAGACGAGGCCTCAGTGCCATGGGTTAGTGGTGGCCTTGGCAGTGCTGGGGAGTGGTTGGACTGGATGAGCTTAAAGGGCTTTTCCAACCTGGTTGATTCTGTGAAAGTGCTGTTTTGGGAGCATACCCTGGTGCTGCAAGGAGAGATGTTTGTGGTGATCTGCCTGTGCGTGTGTTTGAGGTTGGTGTGGGTTTGGTGCAGAAGCCTGCCAAAAAGTAGTTGGAAAATCACAGACTGTAGATAAATGAGAACATTTTAGTATGATTACTCGGGTCTTTTTGGAGGCTTGTGTGCAAGAGAGTTCAGCTTGAGCCCATTTCCTCTTGTCCCACCCCTTGCTCCTTGGGAGCAGAGCCCAGGCCCTCCTGGCTCCATCCTCCTGTCAGGCAGTTGTAGGGAGTGATAAGGTCCCCCCTGAACCTTCTCCAGACTAAACCCCCAGGTCCCTCAGCTGTTCCAAGCAGCACCATGTTAATGCTGATAGCACTTCCTGGGTGATATCCACAGACCCTTTCTCGGCTTGCAGAGCTCCCAGTGCTTTCTGAAATGTGAAAATCTCACATCCTAATGGGGAGGATTGAAATAAGGGAAAATTTGGGTTCTTCCTCTTTTGTGCACTCTTTAGTGATTCTGATTTCCAGGTGTTGATGCCCTAGCAACTGAAGGGAGACAGTGGTTCAAGTATGTGATCATTTACAATAGCAGAACTTTGGTGTTGACAAATCAGAGCTTTGCAGTGGAAAATATAATCCTTAGATGGGAGGGGTCCCTACTTACCATGTGTGTCATCAAGCTTCAGTTGGGAGTTACAGTGCAGAGCCCAGGTGCCTCTCATGTTCTCAGCATGGTGCTGTAGCTTCTTGGTATGCCGAGAGCTTTGCAGAAGAGTGCTGTGGAGCTGGAGGGAGATTGTTGTGCTGAAAATATGAGCTGCCTGCTGCCTCAAGTGACGGGCACTTGGGTATAGAGAAGCAGAAAGAGTACCCTTGTACCTCTGGGGAGAGTTGAGAGTGGCTCCCCCTTCTTGCTGGGAGCTGTTCAGTGCTTGCTTTGAAGGTGTGTGTGTTTCCATCCTTCAGAGTAGCACACCAGTACAGCACTTGTCGCTAAGGCGTCTATTAAGGAAGTGTGGGTAGAGGGATGCTTAGATGAGATGGTGTTACTCCTATGATCACAGCATGTGTTAACAGTCACTAATAGCTCCTCATGAGGGAATGTTGGTTCTTACACACCACGTTTCTATAAATGGAGTTACCTTTGTGTTTCCATTCAGATTGACAAGCTTCAAACAGTGTCTGATACTTAAGTTTGGGCAAGCTGTTTGAACCTGACTTGCAATAGCTTTGGCTGCCTTTTGGCTCTTATGAGGGGGTTGCAGGGTTCTGTCAGGCTCAGTTCTGAGTGTCAGGGATGGCTCCCAGTTGGCTTTGGGCTTTGCTTCTGCAGCCATGCTCCATGACACAGCTAATCACCTCCTTTTAGTTCAAATGAGCCTATCTATCATACATGTAATTAAATAGCTGCATAACTGGCTTCCTGTGAGTCCTTTCTGCACTGTATTTTGATAAATTGCTAAAAAAACTACTGGAAATCTCTTCAGCTTTTAAATTATTGTAGACTTTCAAAATTTTGTAACTTTATTATAATTAATTTTTCTCTACTTGCTTGGTTTATGAAGCCTGGCTGGAGTGTAGCAAGTGCCAAATCTTAGTTTAGGTTCTAAAGAAGGGCAGTTCAAGTGAGCAAAGAAGCTTTACTCTGGTGGAATGCCCTGAACTGAGCTGAAGTTTGGCTCAAGATAATGGTGTCTAAAACCAGCTGTTTGTAAGGAACTGTAAAGTTAGGTGGTTACCACTTCCATGGTTGTAAGCTAGAACACTGGAGTAATGAAAGATGTAACCTTATGTTTTCATGCAGCAAAACAAAGTTTACTAAGTAAAACTTCTGGCATATGCAAGTAATCTCTTCATTGTAAGATACAGCTGCACTGATACAACACAGCAACTTTGACAGTTTGTCCAGACCTATTATGTGATGTGGGGAAAAGAAAAGATTGTCTTGGAGTGTTCAGTTTCCATTAAACTTGGCTTCCTGCTGTATTTTGTAAGATACCACACTTAAAATATATAACCAACTTCTTTGTATGTGTTTTTTTTTAGGCCCCTGGAGGAATTGCAACCCCCCTTGTTTATGGCCAACTGCTAGCTTTGTACCTGTTGCATAACGACATGTAAGTGTTTCACTTAATGTTTCACTTCAGATACTGAACTTGTTGCTATTAGTTTGAGCTGCAGTTGCCAGGATATTAGGAATGGGTTGTGTGACTTGCAAAATGCCAGGATATTAGGAATGGGTTGTGTGACTAGCAAAATGCATGTAGGCAGGACTGTTGAGGTTTTTGGTTTGTTTTTTTACGTTGTTCCCAGAGTTAAGTCTTATTTACCATTTGTTCTGTCAGGAAAATTACTCTCCTTTGCTCTTACCCACCTTTTGAGAAGGCTGGCTTTAGGATAAAAGATCCTTAAATAGTGAAATTGGCTCCTTTGGAAAGTGTTGGGCACTTCAGCATGTTGATTTGTAGCTTTTCAAGGCTGCATTTGTTTTGAGTAGCATTGCATGCTGCTGCTTGAGTTTAAATTACAGCAGGAAAACTCTAAACTGTCCATGGTAAAAATGAGGGATACTGTTGGTGTGAATGAGCTGAATCTGCATGAAGCTGTAATCCTTTGAATTCAGTCTGGTGGTATATTACATGGCCCTGTATGAACTTGATTTACTGTGTTTAGGATTTTACAGAGAAATTGCTGAGTATTTATTCAGGCAGAATAAATGATATTACTGTGTTTGATTATCAAGCCCAAGTAAGGATTGGTCTGGGGATTTGAAGACTGGAGTGGTTTGGGGGTTTTTTGCATTGTAGATAATATATTTTTTCAGGACAAAATCCCTGAGAATGCTGAAACTGATGTAGGTAACCTTGGTTCACATGGATTTAAAGTTTTAGATTTGTGTTTTTCTCTGTTTGGCATTTTGAATCTTTGTGAGCAATTTTATTGTGCAAAATTGTTGTTTTTTTTCCTTTCCCATTTTAGTTTTATATTCTCTCCCCTTGTAATTTACCTAATCATTATTATCAGTAGTAGTAATATTGTTGCACTGTACTTTAAATTGTTCTTATTGCAACTGGTGGGCTTTACATTCTTTTGATTCTGCTCCCAATCCTGCCTGAGGAGGGGAAGAAGGGGCTCATTGACCAGCTGGGTCTAAACCACAACACACTATTCATAAGTCACTGTTTGTACGTGTCTTCATCAAAAATGCAGCTATTCTAAAAATACAACTGCAAAAGTAACCTCTGTGAAATGCTGCCCAGGGCAGGTGAATAATGAACCTTTTCTGAACTGTGCTGAATGAGGCAGTTAATGAACTATTGGTTTTATTATGGTAGTCATATTGTTTGCTTGAGAGTAACATTGTTGTTCTACTTCACTAGATGTAGGAAATATTTTAAAGCACTGAGATGACTTAACAGTGTCTGAACAAAGCTTTTGGTGTCTCTTTGTAGCAAACATTTGCTTACTGAGAAGTATTTTTAACTTTGTTTTAGGAATAATGCACGCTATCTTTGGAAAAGAATCCCTTCTGCTATCAAAACTGTAAGTAATGCATAAAATGCCATTTGATACTAGACCAGTTTCATGTAAGTTTGCTAATAGTGACACTTTTCCCTCAGTGATTGTGTTTGGGAAGTAGCCTTGGGCTTAGCTCTGTGCTATAAACTGCTTTCCCAGCAGGTGGCATAATGGTATTAACATTTTCTTGTTGCTCATCTTGCCTCTTCACAATCTGGTGCAACAGAATTCAGTAAGCCTGTAGAGTTTTTAGTAGAAAGCTTCATGCTGAAGTGTAGTCAGCTGGAGGAAAGCAATTGATCTGGCTCTGGGATGAGGCCATGTTCCACATGAGGGTGCAGGATACCTTATGCTGCAAAAAGTGATCTAAACTAAGATGCATCTTCAAATTGATTAACTTCCTGAAGGCACTTGTTTTGCACTGCATTTGGATCAAAGATGCATTTTCAGATTCAGCTAAATATAATAAAACTTAAAGCCAGTAGTGGGAGAGCACTTGTAGTGACTGTAGTGTCACTGTATTAAGCATGACCTGTTGTCAAGATTGCAAGACTTTGCAAGCTGAAAATTGTCTGCACTGTGCAAACAGCCTCTGCAGCTTAGAAAGCCTCTACTGAAGAGGCAAGCATCTCTCTAAGCAGAAAATAAGCTGTGCCTATCTTTTTTGCAATTCCAGTCAGTATCCTGAGGGCAGATTTCTCTCCATGATTGTTTTAGCTGGTCATGTTAGCCTGGATTGGTATAACTGATATGAGCAGACTTTGCTTATGTGGGTGATAACATCATGGCAGAGGATGGATCAGGGAGCTTGCAGCAGTGATATATGCTAGAACAAGATTTATGTTTTTCTGTTTGTCTTTGAGTTGCGATATTCTCTTGCAGTGGGGAAAGGAAGTGGAAATTTGCTTATACAGTATGGTCACTGTAGAGAATGCACTGGTCTGGGTTAACTTTTTGTTGGGTTTGGTTGTTTTTCTCACAACAGGCAAATGCTGAGCTTGGTGCAGTTTGGTCAGTGGGACAAAGAATCTGGCAGAGAGACTTCCCAGGAATCTATACAACAATCAGTGCACATCAGTGGTCTGAGACCATCCAACCAATCATGGAAGCACTTAGAGGTACAAATTGAGCTCCTGAAGGTAGCAAGCAACTATTTATATGTTGCCTTAAATTATTTCTGTGTGCTCAAACACAAACAGACAAGTAGATAAATGACTACTTATTATGAAAAATCACAAGTGGTGAGGAAGGTTGTTGTCAGGTTGTTGTAGGTTTTACTTACTGGGACTTTAGGTACCAGGTGTGAATAAAAATTTCATTGCAATAACTTATTTGTTCAAGTTGAATCGTTTTCATTAGGGCTGTGTATGTGATTGTTGTATTGGAATTTCATATACTATGTTCTGTAATAGCAAAACAGACCACCAGTTATGCAGTTCGATCAGACTTCTACCTAATCTAGGGAACTTGGTTTGGTATCTGAGAACCTTGTGACACTTACGTAAAGGGTTTTCTTTTAAATGTCTGTTTAGACGAATGTTTTATAAACTGTGTAAGATGCAAAGTCCTGCTTCTAGAGGGCAGGACAGACTTCTAAGTCCTTCTAAGGTGTGTTGCTGCAACATTCTCTGTAGCTTCAGAAACTGGGATTTTCTTAGATGCCTTGGTGTCAAACTATGAATGCCTTTTTGGCCACATCTGCTTTAACTCATTGTTGTTTTTTTTTTCTTCTTTTTCCCTTTTTTTTCCTATTTCTAACTTTTTGATACACAAGCTCATTGCAAATGGAGGCTGCCATGAGAAGCAGAGTTTCCTAAATGGGTTTACATACTGGTGGTAGTACCCAAGATGCTGCAAACTGCATTTGGAAGTTGAATGGGGTCACTGAGGGTTTTTTCTCCTGGCATAGAGCAAGCTGTTATCTCTGCCTGTGGCACTTCAGTGAATAGTGGGAAGGGAGGGGGAGCTTTTCAAGTGCTGGCTTTAAGGGTGGTAGTAATAGAAATGGAACAAAAAGCGTTAGGTTTTTCTAGCTATGGAAATCTGCCTTACAGTGTTTCTCTCTCCTTAGATGCAACTAGGAAACGAGCCTTTGGACTGGTTTCTCAGGCATATACCTCAATAGTTGCAGATGATTTTGCAGCTTTTGTCGGGCTTCCTGTAGAAGAAGCTGTGAAAGGTACTTTGTGTTTATTCACTGAATAGTGTTTCTACATATGATTGAGATCAGAGAGCTGCGAGTGATGGGAAATAAACATTTGTACAAGTTCAGAGACTTGTAAAGAGAAGTGATGGGATGAGGCAGTGAATAGAGAAATATGTCTTGGTTTTGGGTGTTTTGTTTGGGGGGGGTTTGCTACTAGTTACCACTGGTTATCTTCCCTTATGTATGTGGAAGTGTTAAAGCAGTTCTGTGGCGAGAGAAGAGTGAAGGTAGTGGATTAAGCTAGTTCCATGTGTTACTACTTTCATGATATTACTTGTAGAACTACATGTCTAAATATAAGCATTTTCATAAGTAGTATGCCTTGGAATTACAACATGTAGGCAGTGAACTGAGATACTTTTCTACTGGTCTTAATGTGCATCTTTGTTTTACATTTCTAGCAATTTTACAGGACACTCGTTCTTACTAATGTAAAAATGCCTTTTCAGGTGTATTAGAACAGGGCTGGCAAGCAGACTTTTCAACTCGTATGGTAATGCCTAAAAAGCCAGGTAGGTGGAGCTCTTACTTGATTAGATGTTGAGTTTAGTGTTTTCTAGTAATTAGATGTTTTTAATTAAAAATATGCATAATATTTTCTTAGATTCTTTTATGGGGGCTTATGCTGCTTACATGGAATGCTTATAGGTGTAGGAAGTACAAAGTAGTGGATTTGGTTTGGGGTTATAAGTAGTTTGGATTAAACTACATTCTCAAATTAACTGTTTTAAACAAACACAGACAGGATAAGCTATGATTTCTCCTGCTCCTCCTCTGCTGCAGTGGAATGTAAGTTGGATGACCTCAAGGGGCATGGCTTAATCTAATAAAGATGATTAAAACATGTACCAGTTTGAACCTAGGGAGTTTTTCAGGAGAAGCAGAACTTCTTTGGGCAGGTATCTTGTGGATCTTTGTGCTCTGAGGAGCTCCAGTCCTTGGTGTAATTTTTTTTTAAACTTTGTTCTATTGGATCTTTTCCCCACTGACATTGTGGTATTGATAATAGTGTCTGTTCCTGCAAAGCTCAGGCTTCAGAAATGCTTGTTTCTTTTGGTTTGGTTTTTTTTTTTATGCTAAAGCTGTCTCTATGGCTGGCTATGGCAAAGATAAAATTAAGCTATGAAAGCAGACTAAATGACTGCTCTTAAACTGCACAGCACAGCTCTGGAATAAGAAGCTACATACAGCATATCCAAAAGGCAGCATCTATTAGCCTAAGAAAATACATTGTTTGTATGGGCAGAGTTTTTAGGAGTTTGGAGCCCAGAAGATCACAATAAACATGTGCCAGGGAAGGTGTTGAAATTTATCCCTAGGGGCACATACCAACCAGAGCCCTGAGCTTTTGTACGTGATCAGGTTTTGTATGAACTGGTTGCAGCATATGTAGTGTTGGCAAGTACTGAGAACTAGTTACATGTGGTTCTTTCCCAAAAGTGAGTGTAAGAACTACTATTGAGGCAAAAGAAAGAGGCAGGAGGTTGTCATCTATTTTAAAGCTACATGTCTAACTAGCTAAGCCTTGACTATTCTGCTTTTTAGTTGTGAAGTAAAATAGGATAAATGAACGGGCTTCATTTTAATTACCTTTTCATTCAGTTTTGGCTTGCTCTGTTAGAATTGTTCAGAGTTGGTCCACTGAGCTCACTTCTGTGGTTGTTTTTTTTTTTTCTTCAGGTGTGCTGGAAGCTTCCTTTAACAGATTTATTCCTTCATCAGGTATGTTCTGTTTAATAATCTGTGTGCATATATCTGAACTTGCATGATGAATATAAATACAGTTTTACCAGCACCACAAAATGGGAATTGAGTCCTGGAGAAGTGAATGTTGTCATTTCTCCCTCAAAAACACCCCACCTCAGTCAGGTGCTACATGAACATGTTTCTCCCTCTGTCTTCTCTTTCCCTCACACCTTGAGGAGTGCCTGAGATTCTCGCTTCCAGTTGAAGTGGGAGCAGAAGTAGGGAGCAGATGCCAAAGCGGAGGCAGACAGCCCCTATAAGACAAAACCTTTGACATGAAGGCAAATGCTTCACAAAGCTCATTGCTCTTGCATGATGTGGCACTTCTGTAGAATGTATCTTGTGATTTTTCTTGAGTGCTCAACAGTGGATTGAGGTGTGTAGTATGTTATGTCATGCTGATTCTCAAAACACTGGTCTCTGTTCAGAGTAGTGACAGCAGATCTAAATTGGTGGCTTGCTGTGTCTAATAGTGGCCAAAAGTATCTTAAATATACAGGCTTAATTCCAAGGCCATTTCAAGAGCTGGGTTCTTGCTTTTTAAAAGCATTCTGATTGTCAGCCTTCTCTGTCACATCCTGACAGCCCTAAGCAGTATGTCCACTTACATACATCCTGAATCCTGCTCTGTTAGCTCTTCAGGAAGACTAAATACAACTTCTGCTATTTTTCAGTTTCTCATTTTTAATCATCTCCCTGGAGATGATCTCGCTTGTCTTCCAACCTCTTGTTAAGCTGTAATCTCAGGTGTGCTAGCATCTGTATAATGATCTGCATCATGTGCACTCTTTTCTCTTTCATCCCATTCAGTACTTTGCTGTGTTTTGTTAGTAAGGTAGCCCTATGGATTTATTTGCCATCTTCAGTATGGCAACTTGTAAGGAAAGGAGCAACTGAAAACCTTCAGGAGCTGTTGTTGTCAAGTGGAAGGGCTATCAGTCTTCATCATTCAGACTCCAGTATATGGAACAAACTGCTGATAGGTGGAACTTGTATTTTAGCTTCTTTGCTGTTAGTAACTCTTGCATTACTTAAGGTTGCAGATAACAGAAAAGTTATGTCAGCTAAAGCTGCATAGGCAGGAAATGCAGTTAAGCTATGTCCCCATAAGACTGTTTAACAGTCTGCATTTAATGTCTTCCTTGCTATTGTAATGGCTGGTATTGCAGATGGATTTGTTTTCTTAATTTTATTAATGATGCCTTTGTTTTATCTTTGTAGAATCTGCTCCAGTTCCACCAATTCCGAACGAACAGCAGTTGGCCAGATTGACTGACTATGTGGCTTTCCTTGAAAATTGATTATCCTGCTCCTATATCCAGACCAACTTGGGAATCCTGTGTACTGACAGTTCTAGGAATCTAAGATTTATTTTGTATCTGTTAAACGTTGCAGTGGCCCCTACTCAAATGTGTGAAGTATACAGTGGGTGTTAGTACAATTAGTGTGTTGCCAAAGCCAAGCTAGCAATTGAAACAATCCTTTAACTCCTGTCATATTTATTCAGTAGGTACACAGCAGTATTACATAGGGGTTTTTGTTGACTTGTAGCAGAGAGAGGCATAACTGTTCTTCAGGTATACTGGAAATGGAGAAGGAAAAGAGCAAGTTAGTGGTGTTGAGGAATTTATGCTAGTAGGTTATGTGCTTCTATGGTAAGGACAGCAGTGCATACACAGATCAATTGCATGTTGAACCAAAGTGATGGATTGCCCTACCCCTGTCTGCGGAGAGGAAATATGTTGGTGAAACAGGCACTTGAAGAAAACAATTTATAGGAATTTCTTTGCATGTGAATTTGTGGCGTCTTTCTAATTGTTCTTCTGTTGGTCTTCCTGGATTGTTAAATCTTCTTGTTTTGAGGTGTGGAATTTCACATCGGGCATATTTTTACAGCAGAATAATTGGAGTCATTTAAGAAAAGCAAGTTTTGACTTGGAGCAAGAATTTTTACTTTTGGAAGGTGTTATTAGTGATGTAAGACACCAGATAATCTGCTGGGTAATCATACACCTGCTTGAAGCCTGTCATGTCTTGGTCTGGGCTGGGATCTACAAAACCCAACAACTCTTACCCATCTTTAAGCTTTTTGGATTACCTCTGCAGTTACTGGAGAGGAATTCAAACATTAGAGTAAGTATCCCTGAGTAGAGACCAATTGGGATGGGGGTGGCATGTTATGCTGCAATGTCAGTTTGAGAAATACAGTTTCTGTATCGGAGCACTGCTGTGTTAAACTTTGAGAGTGGGTTTTGGAAGCAGAAAGCTGACCTGTATTTCCAAGCTTCTTATTTGTATTATGCTGGTAAATACGCTATGGGGAAAATAGTGGTGCTTTAAAGGGCAGTGCCTGCCTCCCTTTGCTTCTTCCCCCTCTCCAACATCATACTCAATGGTTTTGTTGAAGATGGCAAGTGTGCTGTGTGTTGTGATTGTTCTTTCCAGTGTGCACTACCTACTGTACATTCTCTGTCTGGGGATGTGTTAGCAGGGAGGAACTGTGACCTGTGCACTGCTGCTTTTAGAGCTCCCTTTATATATAAACACTTACTTAAATTGATTATTTATTTGAAACCCACCGAAGACTTGGATTTCTAAATTCAGTGATATTAAAGAAAATGTTTACACTGACCTCATATACTTCACTGTTTAGTTTTTCCTTAGAAAGCACTTGGTCTGGTTTGGCTCTTTTTTAAATGAACTGTTTGGGGTCTAATCTGAATTGGGTTAGTTAAAGATTGGTGCAATGCACTATGCCTTGTCATGGCTTAAGCCAAGCTGGTAATGCAGAACCACACAGCCACTCACTCACTCCCCCCCCTCATTGCCCCCCTCTCCTGGAGGGATGGGGAGGAGAATGGAAAGAATGTAACTCCCACAGGTTGAGACAAGAACAGTTTAGTAACTAAGGTATAACACAAACCACTACTGCTACCACCAATAATGATAAGGGAAATAACAAGGGAAGAGAATACAAATGCTCATCACCCAGTGAATGATACCCAGCCTGATGCGAGCAGCGATCTGGGCCTCCTGGCTGCCTTCCCTTAGTTTCTATCCTGGGCATGATGTGCTGTGGTATGGAATACCCCTTTGGCTGGTTTGGGCCAGGTGTCCTGGCTCTGCTTCCTCCTGGCTTCCTGTGCCCCTCTTCACTGCAGAGCGTGAGACTGAAAAGTCCTTGACTGGAGTAAATGTTACTTAACACCAGTGTTTTAGTTGTTGCTATCAGCATTATTCTCAGGCTAAGGTTGAAAACATAGCACTGCACCAGCTACTAAGAAGGAGGGGAAAATAACTCCTACAGCAGAATCCAGGACAGGTAGCCTCCTCCAGCCTGAAAACTGACTACCTGCTGCTTACTCTTAGGAAGTCCTTTCCCCTTCAGTCTACTAGTTTTGGACAAACCTGTTGTGTATATAAAGTAGAACACTTAATCCACATGCTGTTCTTTGTAGAAAAAATGAGTAGATTTGAAGGTGCCTCCAAAACCAAACCACACTTCCTCAAATGATCTGTAATTCTGGTATTTCTTTTATTAAGCAAAACGCCGCCCAGTTCCCCTGTGTAGACACTCACCTTGGGGTTTTTAGGTTTTAAATGGGCAGGTGAGGAGCAAGCTGAGTTTAAGGTTTGGTAAAGGGGCTAGAGCTATTAAATGTTGGAGAAGTAGGGGTGTTACAGCCAAATGGAATGCTGTGCTTCATATCAGGGAAAGGTCAATGATACAGCTAGTGCAAATGGCTTTGAGGGATGTTTTTGATAGCAGTCATGAGACATTTAATAGACTTGTTTGGCATGTATTGAGTTCATAAAATATTTAATTTCCCAGCTTGTTCTTAGAAGTAGTGAATGATTTTATCCTGCAGCAGGCTATGAGCTGGGTCACAGTACCTGGAAACAGGAAATTTCCATCTAGTGGCAAGCTTGTTGTAGTTCTTTGTGGAGCTTGTGTGATAGGTTGGCATGATTGATTTGGTTCCTGAACTGCACTGTGCCATGGATTCTAAAAATAGGAATGAGGGCATCTTAAAATACCATGAAAGGATGTTTAAAATACATACATATTTAGAATGTTTAGAGTAATAGTAGGTTGCTAACAAAATCCATGATTGGATTTAATGGCTGAAGACAAATTCAGCTTTTCCGTATCAGTAGGAGGCCACTAGTTGGAAAGATGTTATTGTATAGCATAGTCTGTTTCATTAGATGAAGACTTAACCAGTCTCTGAAAGGTAGAGAGAAACCTGTCTGTAGAGCTGTGGTTAACCTCTCAAGCAGAGAAACAAGCGTGCTAGCAAAGGTTAAGAGAGTTCAGTTCCCTTGCAGGCAGTGAGCAGTCACAGCATGGTAGCTGTTTTTAGGCTGGCTCTAACTCATATTATGGTCTTCAGTTGAGCATAGGTTAATACTATGGACAAATGTAAAAGAATTTTGTGGCACGTGGATTACAAAAGTGAAGATTAGAGGTAGTTGTAGAGAAGTTTTTCTCTTGGCTTAGGCCTATCTTGTGCTAAACCACTGCATTCTCACAGGGGTCAGGAATAAATTGTGCTGGGAGGAAATATCAGTCCATTTGTTAGACATGGTCAGTGTTAAAGGATTTCAGGTTGCATTGTCCCTGCTTGGGCAGGCCCAGCATAGCTCTGTGCTTGTCCAGAACCCTATCCCGGTAAACAGGGTGTGTAAATTATTTCTTCAAGTGAGATCTTCCAACACTTGAACATGTCCCTGGACTCCTTTAACACTGCTTTCAACTCAATAAAGAGGAAGTATTTTTGTGTTCATGTTTGCTATCTTAATTAAAGCAACTGCTGTGGAGTTTGGAATTCTTCCAAACACTTTTCCATCCACAGCACTGGAGCAATACTGGAGCAGGAGGATGCTTGGGTTAAGAAACCATTATGAATTCAGTTGGGAGCAGAGATTCATGAAGGATTTGGAAAAAGAACTTCCATTTCAGTTCAGTGTTTTCCATTTTTTGTCTGCATCCCACATGTAATTGAACGTCACTCATTGTTGCTTTGCATTTTACTAGCCTCTCCTGTATTTGTCAGTGGTGCTTATTTGAAACTCCAGTTACAGTCTCTGTAGAGAAAGATTCTTCAGCTCAAAGGTGGCTAGAAAGGGATAAGCTGGGTATGGAGGCAGAACAGTAGAATATACTTCCCTGCTAAAGATCTGGATGGAAATCATCCATAGGCTTTGATAACAGGAGATTTTCCAGGGTGTGATTAGAGCTGAATCTAGAGACACACCTAAGAAAAATGAAAGCAGAATGCCCATGTAGAAAAACACATCAGGGGGCACATCAGGGGGCACTGCAGGGGAATGGTACTGGTTTTGCTGTAATGCATTTTGGTAGGTCTTGCTGCAGATACCATTCTTGGATAATATTCTTCCTTGTTCTAGTCATCTGGATTCATTCTGAAAGCAAACTGAGGTTTTTCTGCATTGGTCATCTATAAAGTATGTGCAGAAAGTGGACAGTCCAATTTGTGAGCATTTGAGAAACTCCTTTTAAGGGTGAAAAGAGCATCAGCTCAGTCTGATTCCTCTGGTCACCTGAGTTGATTCAGGTGACTGGCACAGTGGTAGCAAGCAAGCACAACATGCAAACCACTGTGAATCTCTTCAGCTTCTTTCCTCACTATCAACGTCTTGCAGGGCTTCCAAAATGAATGATGCAGATTGATGATTCAACTTAGACATAAGAGAGCTGACATTGCTGACATTAAATCTGTGTTCCAGCAATCTGGGTTGTGTGCAATATCAACCTTGTGTGAGACAGGAGAGGGGAAAGCTGTAAAGAAGATCTTGGGTGGGTGGTTTGTTCTGCCTTGTTTCCTGCCCTGCTGGAGCTGGCTGGGCCATTGTCCAGACAGCATGTCAGTGTTTTCTTACTTCTAGGAACAGCTCACGCTGAGGGAATGGGCATTGGATGGGAGTGTCTGAGAAGCTGAATGGTGAGAAACAGTCTCTAGGTTCAGGCAGGTCTCGGTCAGATGCAGCAGTGAAGCAGCTATTTATTGAACGTTTGTGCAAAAACAGGTGTCCTGGCAAGTAGGCACACACAGCAAAGGCAGAACTTGGATTTATATTTCCTATCCCATCCACAAGTTCCCTCCCTTGTTTTCCCATTGATTGGGGACTCCAAGGTTTACATTCTATCCAATGCCAAGAAACAAGCTGCCAGCCAGAAAATAATTTCACTTTATTCACCTTTTTATTATTTTTCACCCTATATGCTCATATTCCATAGATTTCCATGTTGCTAGTTAATAGGCAGAGGGAAAGGGGAGGGATAATTCCGAAGCATTTGCTTCCATACACTTTTCCCTCCTTTTCTTAGCACTGCACAGATGGGTCACACCTCAGGGTCTCTTGACAAAAGTGGCCTTTTTCTGCTGGGAAGGAAACTTTCCTCCGAGCTCTCATCCCAGATTTCTTCAGGCTTCCCACAGCTCTTCCTGTGCTAGAGCACAAGAGAGAGTGTCCTCTGAGCTATCCCAGCACACTAATCTGCCTCAAGCACTCACCCAGCCTCACACATCTACAAAAATGGCACAGTAATGGAAATTGCCATTAACAGGAGGAAATAACTTGCAGTGACTGCAAAAGCAAACGTCCCATGAGGTGGAAGAAGCCCACAGTTAAAGCCAAAATGCAGCATTAGACCTAGGGGAGGATGTAACCCTGCTAAAACACTATGGGCAAACCACATGTAGACTCCACTCAAGGCACAAAACCTGAAGTGCCAGCGATTGCAAGCCCATTAGCTTCTGGACGCAGGGCAAGTAGAAAGGAGATACTTTCAGCCATCATCTCTAAGGGGCATTCCAGTCAAAATAGCAAAAGCCCAGGACTCAGCGCTAGGATGTTTGGCTATTTTTTGGCTCCCCATGCCTGTTTTCTCCCTGGGCCTCAGTTGATACGTGTGAGAAATGGGGATGCTAATAGCCACCTAAAAGCAGCAGTCTCGGAAATAATTAGCTCTGCTCAAGCGAGTGTCTCAGCTTACAGAAGCGACCCTGCTGCCATTTCCTGAGCCCGAGGTCTGTTTGTCTGCCCTTAATGCAGAATCACCAGCTTGTTTCTGCTCTCTGACAGGGTAGTGGTCAGCTAGCAAATGCACCCTCGAGCATCAACTGCAGCACTTTGAGAGGAGAGGTCTGGGGCTGGCTCTGCCTCAGGAAAGGAAGTTGGTGCTTGGAATCACCTCCACACAGTGAGCTCGTCTACAGTGCCACCACTATCGTGGCAATTTGCCCTTGCTCTGCCACCTAAAACCCCACCTGCATACTTCCTCTCTGCCTAGGGCACTTGGGTGTCCTGGAGCACAGCTCCAGAGTGCAAAGGTCCAGAACCTGCTCCCAGACCTCACATGCCAGGACAGAAAATTGGTGCTGGGCAGCACCTACACATTGAGACCTTCAGAACAGTGCCACCACCACGGCAATCTGCCCTTCCTTTGCCACTTTAAACACCATCTACCTACTTCCCCTCTGCTCAGTGTGCTCCAGTGTCCTAGAGCACGGCTACAGGATGCAAAAGTCCAGCTGTTGTTGCCCATGCCCATAGCGCCAGGACAGAAAGCTATCGCTGACCTGCCTGGATCGGTGCCACCAACA